GAACATCTTCAAAGAGTAATCTTCTTGGCGTTGTATGTGATAATTTTATTGTATGTGGTGTACGCGGTGGCTTTTAGAAACCAGACAACGGGTAGTATTATTCCTTATTCGTATGCAATGTTCACATCTCGTAAGCTGCTCTATTTTGAAACGTTGGCTTCATCAATTCGAACGCGCGGCCACTAACAGTCGGCGCCGTATGCGTATGTATTGAAATGTTTGTATATATGTATATCCCTGAATGATGTTCTATATCTCCATTTCAAAAAGGGAAATGCATAGATCCTTATGGCGGGTGTATTTTAAGTCTTCCTATAAATTACATTACATCCTCACCGTTCTTTTCGCGTTATAAAACCTCCTTGTCGCTTTGAAAACCGAAGCTGAGAACAAGAGAAGCCTTTTGTCTACGTTCAGTATGTCGCTTAGTATCTGGTTGTATTAACTATGAAAGAATCTTGTTTTTTTAACAATATCAGGTCTTTTTATTCAAGAGAGCGGGAGAGCAGAAAAAGTGGCGGTTATAATGGTTATTGTAGTTATCATCCTCATTATTACAACTACTCTGCAGCTAGTAACATTAATTAGGACCTGATATTGTTGAAAGTATAAAAGTATCACTAATAGATAATAGTAAATATACTATTGATGTTAACAGTGGCCAAAAATTGTGATAATGAATACATCATAAGACAGTAGCGATAATAAAAGTCGTAATGAGAATAGTGATAATAAGCGATAAGCAAATAAACAAAGAAAATTAATAGTAAACCTATTTGTTAAGCACTCGTTAGTATGGACATCACTTCGACACTCGTAAATCTGAGCGCTGTTGTATTTATTAGTGGCGATGTGTCCTTGAAGTTGTATTTCTATTTTTAGAAGCAAAAGCGAGACTGAAGGTTTTCTACTCCATGGATTATCATTACTGTTGATTTATTTTTTTTTTCTGTACGTAAGCACCGATGACGTGTTAATGTATCGCTTTCTTTTTTATAGAAGGATTTAATGTTACAGATTACCGTAGCTGTGATACTGATTTAAAAAAAACGATAGCAATGGGATAAAAAACGTATCGTTTCTTGTGAAAGAGAGTTTTTGCTAATTAGGTAATAGGTGGTGAATAAATCATGATCGAAAACCTTTATTTATATTCGCACTAACGTTCTTTTATTGTTGATCAAGAAAGTGTTGCGGTAAAGGACGGAATAGTGCTTGTAATCCTTTGGTTTATGAATCTAAGCCTTTTTCGTGTGGTATCCGATGGCAGGTCGCGACGTTCGTCCCTTTATTCTAAGGACAGCGGCTGGTATTAGAGTAAGGTGATTTATAATTGGTCAAGGAAGGAAAATGTGAACTTGGGCCTTAAATCAGTCAGGTTTGTCGGTAATCGCTCTTTTTTTCAAAATTGAATCACGCGTAATATATATATATATATATATATATATATATATATATATATATATATATATATATATATATATATATATATATATATATATATATATATTATATAAATGTGTATATGTATATATGTATATATTTTTTTATTGGTGTTGAGTAATCAAGCATATTGACAGAGAATTATCCGTTCGCATAGATGTTAAACACCTTGGCTTCGATTTGTCAAAGTAAAAAAAAAAGGTAAACAAAAGGAGGGTTGGCGGGTAATTAAAATTATAATCACAATCACATTATCTGCTAAAAAAAAATAATCTCGGATGTTCAGAACACCGGTTTGGGACGTAATGTTGCTTTCCGCGCCTTGTCAACCCCTCCCCCCCCCCCTCTTTCCCCCATTCTTCCCTCCTCTATCTTCCCCATCTCTCCTCCCCTACTCCTTATATCCCTCCCCTCCTCCTCATCCTCCCCGGTCCCCCCTCCATCCCCCCCCCTCATCGGCCTCGCACTACCCGGTGTCCTCAGCTAACGTTTACGCATCTCATTTGGCTGAAAGAAAAAGTGTCTCCAAGGTTTCGGGTATGTTTGGCGCCAACTCTTCTAATCACGAAAGAGAGCGGGCGTTTCATTGGCTAATGGCCAAGGTACGTCTGGTAAGCCCCGCCCACGCCTGTGTCATCGTGCCAATCATGAAAGAGTATTTATGACTGACAGATAGATTAGTACCTAGCTCCGCCTACGGTCATATTTAATTGTACTGATTTTTTTTTCTTTTCTTGATTTTTTTTCGTCTTTTCGTCTTTGAGTGAAAGAAATTGTTTGGGAGTGAAAAGATTGAATGCTGAAAATCACGTGTGTGTGTGTGTGCTTGTGGGATTGTATATATGTGTGTATATTTATATACATACATGTATGTGTGTATATATATATATATATATATATATATATATATATATATATATATATATATATATATATATATGTGTGTGTGTGTGTGTTATACATCCAACTCTTTTGAAACGTGTACAGTGGGTAAGATCACGGAAAAGGGCAATAAGTTCCTCCGGTTCTGCAACATCCGAAGTGTGATTTCAACTTCTTATTACAAGTCCAGCAACGACGTACGCTAAGCATGAAGTCCTGTAGAAACAAATGTGTTACCGAGATCCTAGATGTCGAAAAGCCGGAGTGTGTCGAGAGATAGTAGTAATTTTTTTAGACTGAAGTGAAAACCTCCTTTAATCATTTATTGAGACTTTTTATGTGTAAATACATTTGGTTCAAGTGGCTGTGTTGGTAAATCCCCATATCGACACATTTAGATAATTTGGCTATTCTAAAAAGGGACATTAGAAATAGTTAAAGTGATATCACATATAGCAGTCGCGGCGCACATTATGCAAGTAACAAATCCACCATGGATTTTTTTTTTTAGAGTATTCTGATTATAGTAATAGGACGTTCGGCGGTGGTCGGTGAGAATAACAGGATTTCAAACGCAGTCGATATCGCGGTGTTCTATATATCCTCAAAGTATATCTGATTAATTTCTAGATGTCCATGGAATATCGACGTGCTTGATGGCCTTAGAATACCTCTGATTTCCATAAATTTAGATAATTGGGGTTTGAATGATATATCACAAATGTCACGGTGATTTTAACCCCGAGTGACGGATAGGGTCCACGCTGCTCAGTCCTTGTGGAAACCAAGATGCGCGGCCCATTCCTTCTCCGTCTTTTTTTCTCTCTCTCCCTCTCATTTAGCACATTTTTCCTTATCCTCCAATGCTTCCACTTTTCAGAGCAAGGCGTCCGGCCCCTTGGCTCAGCTGGGCGCTCAGCAGCAGCAGTTAGTGCAGCAGCTACAGGCGGTGCAGCGGCAGTACTTGCTGCAGTCGGGCCTTCATCCAGGTCTTCATCACCACAATGGAGAAACTCGTGAGTGTTGCACCAAGTTGGTGTAACTGTATCGCATTACGTTAAGAGAAGTGTAGCTGTAGATTCAGAAGATCATTTCAAATATACAACGCTTGAAATATATTTGGTAACGGGTAATCGACACATCAGTACACAGATGGTACGGGTTTGAAAATAGCACGCATGTTATTTTCTCGTGATATGAACACGAGAATACATGCATGTACTCAACACACACACACACACGTGCGCACGCAATTGTTTGGAATTCTAGTGTATTGATAACGGGATTCAGAAGAGGTAATTTGTCATAATGCAAAATTGTGATCATAAAATGGTTTGTAAAGAAACGGTCACACTAGTCTTGTCTGTCATGGGATCCATAGACAGCCATGCCGAGTGTCTGCTACAGAGCGGGCGGGATTGGTCACACTACACATTGACCCCCGAAAAAAAACAAAGTGTATAGATGGCAACGAGGATAGTCGTGTGGCTTCTATGAATCTCATCGCGTATCTGTTGAATTTCAAGAAAGAAGACCCTAAACGTAGAAAAGCCAAGCCACCCATTTTATTAATTATCACACATCATTCAACCGTGCCAGGTTCCCCGATACCCCATATTTCAACCGAAACAAAAAATCCGACAATATTCTTTCCTATAACATACCGCTATCAGTGTTATTAGTGTAAGAACAACGTAACTATGGACTGATAGAAACAAAAGGTGGGGGGAGTCGAATGCTATCACTGAAATCGAGTAAAATATTTTGTGTTTTTTTTTTTTTTTTTTTTTTTTTTTTTTTTTTTTTTTTTTTTTTTTTTTTTTTTTTTTTTTTTTTTTTTTTTTTTTTTTTTTTTTTTTTTTTTTTTTTTTTTTTTTTTTTTTTTTTTTTTTTTTTTTTTTTTTTTTTTTTTTTTTTTTTTTTTTTTTTTTTTTTTTTTTTTTTTTTTTTTTTTTTTTTTTTTTTTTTTTTTTTTTTTTTTTTTTTTTTTTTTTTTTTTTTTTTTTTTTTTTTTTTTTTTTTTTTTTTTTTTTTTTTTTTTTTTTTTTTTTTTTTTTTTTTTTTTTTTTTTTTTTTTTTTTTTTTTTTTTTTTTTTTTTTTTTTTTTTTTTTTTTTTTTTTTTTTTTTTTTTTTTTTTTTTTTTTTTTTTTTTTTTTTTTTTTTTTTTTTTTTTTTTTTTTTTTTTTTTTTTTTTTTTTTTTTTTTTTTTTTTTTTTTTTTTTTTTTTTTTTTTTTTTTTTTTTTTTTTTTTTTTTTTTTTTTTTTTTTTTTTTTTTTTTTTTTTTTTTTTTTTTTTTTTTTTTTTTTTTTTTTTTTTTTTTTTTTTTTTTTTTTTTTTTTTTTTTTTTTTTTTTTTTTTTTTTTTTTTTTTTTTTTTTTTTTTTTTTTTTTTTTTTTTTTTTTTTTTTTTTTTTTTTTTTTTTTTTTTTTTTTTTTTTTTTTTTTTTTTTTTTTTTTTTTTTTTTTTTTTTTTTTTTTTTTTTTTTTTTTTTTTTTTTTTTTTTTTTTTTTTTTTTTTTTTTTTTTTTTTTTTTTTTTTTTTTTTTTTTTTTTTTTTTTTTTTTTTTTTTTTTTTTTTTTTTTTTTTTTTTTTTTTTTTTTTTTTTTTTTTTTTTTTTTTTTTTTTTTTTTTTTTTTTTTTTTTTTTTTTTTTTTTTTTTTTTTTTTTTTTTTTTTTTTTTTTTTTTTTTTTTTTTTTTTTTTTTTTTTTTTTTTTTTTTTTTTTTTTTTTTTTTTTTTTTTTTTTTTTTTTTTTTTTTTTTTTTTTTTTTTTTTTTTTTTTTTTTTTTTTTTTTTTTTTTTTTTTTTTTTTTTTTTTTTTTTTTTTTTTTTTTTTTTTTTTTTTTTTTTTTTTTTTTTTTTTTTTTTTTTTTTTTTTTTTTTTTTTTTTTTTTTTTTTTTTTTTTTTTTTTTTTTTTTTTTTTTTTTTTTTTTTTTTTTTTTTTTTTTTTTTTTTTTTTTTTTTTTTTTTTTTTTTTTTTTTTTTTTTTTTTTTTTTTTTTTTTTTTTTTTTTTTTTTTTTTTTTTTTTTTTTTTTTTTTTTTTTTTTTTTTTTTTTTTTTTTTTTTTTTTTTTTTTTTTTTTTTTTTTTTTTTTTTTTTTTTTTTTTTTTTTTTTTTTTTTTTTTTTTTTTTTTTTTTTTTTTTTTTTTTTTTTTTTTTTTTTTTTTTTTTTTTTTTTTTTTTTTTTTTTTTTTTTTTTTTTTTTTTTTTTTTTTTTTTTTTTTTTTTTTTTTTTTTTTTTTTTTTTTTTTTTTTTTTTTTTTTTTTTTTTTTTTTTTTTTTTTTTTTTTTTTTTTTTTTTTTTTTTTTTTTTTTTTTTTTTTTTTTTTTTTTTTTTTTTTTTTTTTTTTTTTTTTTTTTTTTTTTTTTTTTTTTTTTTTTTTTTTTTTTTTTTTTTTTTTTTTTTTTTTTTTTTTTTTTTTTTTTTTTTTTTTTTTTTTTTTTTTTTTTTTTTTTTTTTTTTTTTTTTTTTTTTTTTTTTTTTTTTTTTTTTTTTTTTTTTTTTTTTTTTTTTTTTTTTTTTTTTTTTTTTTTTTTTTTTTTTTTTTTTTTTTTTTTTTTTTTTTTTTTTTTTTTTTTTTTTTTTTTTTTTTTTTTTTTTTTTTTTTTTTTTTTTTTTTTTTTTTTTTTTTTTTTTTTTTTTTTTTTTTTTTTTTTTTTTTTTTTTTTTTTTTTTTTTTTTTTTTTTTTTTTTTTTTTTTTTTTTTTTTTTTTTTTTTTTTTTTTTTTTTTTTTTTTTTTTTTTTTTTTTTTTTTTTTTTTTTTTTTTCTGATAGAAACAAAAGGTGGGGGGAGTCGAATGCTATCACTGAAATCGAGTAAAATATTATTCATTGTCGATCGTGATAGAGCCTTACCAGTCGGGCGATTATACCCCGTACAAAGCAAACATTCTCGTTGATGTTTTCCGTTATTATTATTTTTAACTTTCTGCTAACATGATATTTGTGGATGGTATTTCGTAATTGTTCTCTGGCTCTTGCTTTAGCCACCAGAATGTATATAATGTCGGAAGTGAGTTTTGTGTCTTTATCAGGTCAGAGGGTGTGTGTTTGTATTCAATGATCAAATGAATACCTAATACGATATAATAATCAGCGTTAGACAATCAAGTAATAAGCTTCGTAGTTATTATAGTACAGTTTTTGTGTTGGCATCGTCTTTCCCTCTCTAGCTAGGGCGAATGACCGACACAGCGGTGCCGCTCTAGGCGGGGATCTTCATATCGGTTCCCATCTCACCTGGGGAAGCATCCCGCTTTGTAATAATGAGACCCGTGGACTGAATAGACTAGTGTGTCCGCCCCTTACAAATATATTTGTAATATCTATAAACAGATGAAATATCGCACAAAAAAAATTCAATAAGGATAAGAAAAAATGCTCTGTTTAATAATGTATACAATATGTTAATCACTTAGAAAATGAAAGAGATTATTTCATTTCTATATCCATTCTTTTTGTAGAATGGATGGGTGTGTGTGTTTGTTTCTTTGTTTCTTTGTTTCTCTGTTTGTATATTTTCCCGTCCCGAACGTTCAATGAAGGAATAACTCTTTCTGTCGTAGGTTCACCCCCCGGCAGCGGAAGCGAGGGGGGAGGAGCCTGGAAGGAACGAGGAGAGCGCTCAGAAACCCCATCACCTCATCACCACAACAACAACAACAATAACAATAATAACAACAACAACGACCGTGACCAGAAGCCGATGCCACCGCCCGCTGCGAATGGTGAGTTTATTTTTTAATATTAGTTTTTTTCTTTTTCTGTTTTTTTTTGTTTTTATGTGTTTTTTTTTTTTGTAATCACATTGCGCAATATATAACATGAACAGCTGTGGATCACCACTATTGAGTCACGGTTTTTACGTAGGAATTCGTTTTTTTTTTGTTTTTATAATTATTATTATGGCTTCATTATTTTGATCGGTGTCAGTATTATTATTTTTTATTATTTTTATCGTCATTATTGCCGTTATTGTTTCACTTTTATTATTATGATGATTATTTTACTGACGTTATTATTATTATTATCAGTTATAGTTTTCCTCATTATCATTTTAAGTGTTAACATTACCTTGAGTATAATCGTAATTATGATAATCATCTTTTTCTCTGTTTTATTATTTTTATCGTCATTATTGCCGTTATTGTTTCACTTTTATTATTATGAT